ATATATAATTCTTTTTGGGACCTTAAAAATTATAAAAAAATATCCATAAAATAAATAATTTTATTCAAAAAATATCAGTGAAGTTGGTTTGCAAAATAGACACATGATGATTCTAAAATCCTCACTTATACTGATAGGTACCGATCCCTTTAGGATTTTCATCGATGCCCATAAATTATGAAAAAAATTGTGTAAGTAAAATATTACAATTAAAATACTATGACGAAGACAGTTTATGATTTGGAGTTATAATGATTGAAAAAATATATTTATCTGAGTCAAAATACGGGTTATTACACATTATACTTGTGGTTGGAGTAGTATTCACTTCCTCACAAGTTCAGCTCCTTACAATTAAACATATTTGCAATTCCTTTGCTTTCTTATGCATGTATTACAAGATTTCAACTTTGTTTGGGATGATTTTTTATTGCTTTTTAAATCAATTTTTTAGTACAAAAATATCTAGAACTAAAAAATTTTATACTAGAAAACTACTTTAGAAATCATTAATAAAGCCGACACAAATGAAACCTTAATTAGTGTGATTGATTTTAATGAAAATTACAACATTTTGTTGTTTTTTTTTTCTTTTGGTGTGCGATTCCAACATCGAACGATTCAAATGATTTAAATTTTCTCACTAAATTTCTTCAAGTTTGGCAATCATTAAATTATTGTTAATGAGAATTTCTCATTTTTTGCTAGTTTACATCAAATGAAGGCAAGTTCTTATTCTAGTTTGTGGTCTTCAAAGCGACTAATTCTAAACTATGCTTGTACATAAAATGTCATACTTACACGTATTGAAAATGTGTTGATTTTAATGATTTTAGATTGGAATCAAGGTAGAAGAGATGTACTTCCGATGCATCAAATTAATATAGTGTAAGGTCTTGTTTGGGACATCTTTCTTACTGCTTTCTAAAGAATCTTTTCTGTTCAAAAAATTTTATAATAGAAAGTTGTTTTAGGAAGCAATAAGAAAATTGTCCTAAACAAAGCCTAAATATTATTATATGCGCTTTTCTTATAACGTCTCTTGTTTCCTCACAATGTAGTAAGCGAATTATTAAATGTGTTTGCATACAAATTTAATTTCCAAGAAAATCTTATGGATTAACTTTACACAAATGATGCTTTTATGCAAATCTCAGCACTTGGATGTGAATGATTCTCTAAAAATATAAAAATAGTTTGAAAAAAAAAATTACTCCATTAGTATTTTTCACTAATGGTTTAGCTTTGTTTTATAAGAAAAATAAAAGTAAAATTTACAAAAAAGTTTTTTTTTTTATGTTCTTCAAATAGAACAAGGTTGACAACAAATTTTTTTATTATTATTATTTTTTAATTTTTTATGATTTCCTCTTAATTGCCAACCCCACGTAGTGCGATAAAAATTTGATGTTGTTGTTGTTAATGCTGTGAATTCATCTTAATTGGCCCTAAGGGTGAGTACACTTGATTGGATGTATTGAATTTGTTGGTGACTTCATTGTGCATGTAATGACTTCTAGGCATTGATCCAATTTAATTGGCTTAACTTACGCTCAACATATGGTGATCAACAAGATTGGTCTAACTT